AATGGAGACTTGTGGTCGTCAAATTTTTATTTTTGTCAACAAGAATTTTGAAAAACCGTCAAGTGGTCCGGACCACCCGTAGAATACGCAGTACGTTTTCACGTTCAAAAGGTCGCCTGATCGTTCAAACTGTCGTTTGCATACTTTCAAATTCGTCCGCTTGTTCAAACTGTCGTTTGTTTGTATAAATGACAACCGCCGCAGGCTGACGAGATAATTTTAAATGTTTGTTTAAATGACAACCACGGGCTGACGAGGTCATTACGATAAAAGTATCTGCAGGAATAAAAACATTAACATTTAAAGGATGTTTAGGTTAATAGGCTCGGTGTAAACAAGAGACAAAAGAGCTGCATTCGCAATAGATACAAGAGGCCGCATTCAAAAAGGCTTTGTTATATATGAACGCTGCACGAAATTCTCACGTATTTCTTTGAGAATCAGCGTGGCGACAGCAGCGATTTTGGCTCTATTTTATTTAAGTGTCAATTGGAAGCATTTGACATTAAAACAGAGATTATGATATTGACCATCATGTTCCGAAGGCGCATTTTCTCAATTTTTTCTGGAGCGCGTAATAGAGTATTCTTGTGGCACACCAGAGAAAAGCCAAACTGTAACACGCCATCGGATTCCCAGGTTTTTTTTTTTTTTTCTTTGGCAGTTTATGGCACGAGCGTGGCACCTTATTTGGCATTCCTGTGGTTGATCAGAGAGAAACAAAACACTATGGCATGCCTAAGGTTCGCCCAAAAACAACTATAGTTAGTCAAAGTTGTTCGGCGCTAACAAACGCCATGGAGCAAAACCTAACTATAAAGTAGCATTGCACCTAAACAAAGAGAAGAAAAAGATAAGTGGTACACAGGAAGGGGCTAACTTTCACCTGAAATTTATCAGAACGTCTACAATATAAAAAGGGTGTAGTCTTACACTCATTTGGTTCCATATAATGCACCCCAAGACTTAAGTTTGACGAACAGCTCACTGCCGTCGAACCGACGGTCCCAACTTTTACGAGGGGCATATTAAACAGCTAAGGTACGTCTCAAAAACTACAAAAAGACAAAAAAAAAAACAACTGGTGTTTTACAGTAAGGTCAAGAAACACCGATTTTTTTTTTTTTTTTTTTTTCTTGTAGACAGTAACGTTTACATCAGCTATTTTAATAAGTGGTACCACACGGCTATCAAGCCCCTCGTGAAATGTCGTTTTTCTCTGTTCGACGTCGGTGCACTGTGCGCTGAACTGAAGTTTTGGGTTGTATTATAGGGGACAAGGGGAGTAAGCACTACGCCCCACATTCCCGAGAATGGCATATACATATCTTTAATGTGTATTAATATGTACTTAATGTGGAATTTGTTATTTGTGTTTTCTAATAAATTACAGTGAAAAGGTACGCCCTGTCCTGTGTGCCACTCATCTTTTTGTCCTCGCTTTTGTAGGCTTATTCCTCAGTATGAATCATCACCGACTAGCTTAACTCGCTGTACTATTCATAGGCCCAAGTTTGGCCCTTACGTTTGCCGCAGCATTGCCAAGTTAGGCGCTTCTCTGGCTTGTTACCTGAGTACACATCATCACCGCAGGAGAAAGAGATAGTTTGATAAGAATACGGAAGCTACGGGGGCTCTTTCTGTGTGTGGGGGGGGGGGGGGGGGGGGGGGGGGGGCGGGCGGGCTTTTGAATTATAATGGGCGGACAGATTTCATCACATTTCTCACCAGGCTCTTTTTCACTGTGCCTAGGATGACTTCGGCGGTGCAGCCATGCAGGATGAAGATGGAAAAACAGTGCAGGTTGGAATAGTATCATTTGGTCAGGGCTGTGCGTATATGCACGGGTATTCCACTCGGGTGTCGAGCTACATCGATTGGATTGAACAGCTCACCGGGAACCTGCAGTATGCTGACGTCTAGAAAATACTTTTTGAATAAAGGATAATTGCTCGGATTACTTCCACGTTTATTCGAACAGACCGATCTCACTACGCGGTCTACACATGCGTGGTGCCGCCATAACTGTGGTTCATAGGGAAGAGGAGCCAGTGCGTGAGATGGCTTGTTTCGTTTCGTTTCGCGTGCAGAAAGACTACAATTCCCACGACCCATTACGTTCTCGGTGGCATAACGAAACTAACTGGTGAGTTCGGTCTGTGGCAACCGGTTCGATATTCCTGAGTTTTAGTACGCTGTACGCTCCGGAAAGAGGGCCCAGCAGGGGCGTGCTCAAGCCATTGTTCGAAGTGACGGCACGATCTCCCGCTAGCAAAGCGTAGCTCCAGAATGCGGTCGATAAGCGGCGCGCAAGTGGACGAGATGAGAAGAGAAAGCAATGGGAGAGGGATTGATAACGTGTTCAACAAGACTGCACCGCCATAGCTGTTCCTCTGTCCGGAGCAGAAGACTGATTTCGGCAGTGGATTCCTCGTTCATTGGAACACGCCTGACAATAGAGAGTTTTAGTATACCGTTTTCATTTTCCGCTCCGCTCTGGGGGTGCCAAACTGCGCATGCGCGGCCTGCTTCGCCGGAATTGAAAGCGGAGGTCCAAAAACGCGTTTTAGTTGAGCGTTTTTCTTCAGCGTAAGAGCGTTTTGAGCGGGTTCGAAAAATTTGCTTGGGTAGCCCCACAAGTGGACGTTTATAGTACTAGTAAGACGAAAAAACCTAAACGTTAACACCAAGAGAGTGAAAGGGAACTTGTTTGTAGAGGTAGTAAAGATGAAGGCGACAATAATGAACACAAAAGAGTAGGCACAAACCTGAAGAAATATTATGCTATAAAATATAAATATAATCGTTCCACCTTGTGTGCGAGTGAAGCCGAAGGTATAAGCATGAGCATGTTGCTCTAAACGGTACTTGCACTGCACGAGCGCGCGTGCTTATCAAGGACGCTGAAAGGCCAGCACTCGCTCTTGTAGCTTCTACTCCACTCGAATTAAAAATGAAACAGATTTACTTATTCGAAGTAGAAAAAGAAAAGAAAAGGACGAAGTTTGCGCATTGCGAGCACATCCTTTTGCGTAGTACGAGTACATTGTTGCTCAAGGCTAGCAAGGCATCTGCACGATGAATCCCCGCTGTTCTCAAGGAAGGAGACTTCTACTAACGAGATTAAGCTGGCGAGACATCGAATCCATGATTCGTATCCCTCGTGCCATCAAGCGCCGAAGCTTCCTTTCCGAACGCGGTTTGCTGGATATTTCCAACGTAGAAAAGAAACCCTTTAGGAAGCTATCCTGCTTAAAGAAGGACCTGACTGCTCGGCATGCGGGCCTCCGAATACCAGCACCCGACAGATCGG